CAAATGAGAGGGCTCTAATAAGTCAAATGAGAGGGCTCTAATAACTCAAATTATTCTCGTATTTTTTTGACTGGTTTTTATTTATGAACAGTTGAAGGACAGGCATATCGATGACGTCATTAACATTTGTTTTTGTTTTTGTTTTTATTAAAAATATAACACAAACAGTGGTGATAAACATTTTAAAAACATCCATTTTATGAACTTGACGTTTCGTATGCTAGTCAACATACATTTTCAAAAATATAACCGTTAAAAGTTTTTGAAAAGTTATTTATACTGTATCAATGGGGGTCTGGAACCTAGACAGAGAACATCTGCAATAGAAATTAAGACGTTTCAAACGGAAACTGTCAACAATGGCCGAAGACCCAGAGTTACTATGATTTTGTTTCCTTATTAAATATAAGTAAAGAGATTCCATGTTACTGCGCGTCTGCTCGGTAATAGATCTCAGAAGACGTGAAAATGTGGTTCAGTGAAACCTGTATTAAGAGGGCCCCATATTAAGGCGGGACCTAACCTAAAAACACTCAAAAACACACCATGTTTCAAACATTTTTTCGTGGCTAAGAGTTAACTCCAAACCATGGCAAAGTATACAATTTTAAAAAGCTCAAAGAGCAAAGATTATGACAAAAATATTTGTGTACCCTATAACTGTATAGTAACCTGACACAGGCTGATTAAATCTGCCACCTGCTGGGGAATGCCAGGGCTTACTTGAGAAAAGATAACTCCTACAAGAACTGATCAAAAGGAATAATTTTTACATTTCTCAAAAGAAGACAAACAACTTGCTGGGATAAGCATAGAGATTTTTGAAAAGTTAAAAACACGTGAAATGATGACCAGTTAAATCTGATACAGAAAATCTTGCATACGTTTTATTACAAAACTTTGACAGAATGCACTGGATGGAAAAGTTCTATGCTTATCCCACAGAACGTACTCAAAACAACAAATCCTGAAAATTTTAGCTGAATTGAATAAATCCTTCACAAGATATCTTTTCTAGAAGGCGAAAATAACTCGTTTTGAGAAAACGAGCTTTAAACTTACAGTAACAGTACTTGTCAAAATAAAACTTCAATACCTTAAGATTCGAGTTCCGTAAAAAACAAAGCTTTGAATTTCTTTCAGAATTTTAGGTTAAGTCCCGCCTTAAGCGGACACCCTCAAGTGGACACCGGCTTGGCTCCAGGCTCCAGCCTCCAGCCGGTGCCATGTTAGAATATTGATATATCGAACGTGGCCTATTGCAAAAGATAAGCACAATTTTGGTCTACCTTTCAAGACGTTCCGCCAGTTTATTTCCGAAATTTTGCGGTTGGTCGAGGCAAAATTGTCTTATCATTCTGAACGAAATTTGCGGTATTTTGGGTCAATGGTAAACAACATGCACATGTGTTTTGTCAAAATTACTATTAACCAAACGCTTCTTTAAAGAAAGTGCCCTGTAAGTTATTCCGATCATTTTCAACCATTGATCTTGTTGGGGCGAGCCAAAACACAAAACTAGCAGATCTTTGCTATCTTGCCAACATGACCTTAAGTTCTCTGCTTTTTTATCTGGTCCCTCCCTTAATGCCCGCCAATGTCTCTTTTGTCTCTTGATAGTGAGGCCTAGAGAACACAAACAAGAAAAAATGAATAAACATGGTCATTCATTTTCCTTTGCTTGTCCTCTAAGCCTCACTGTCAAACTGTATTTTAATATATCTTAGTCTATTATGGCTTATGCCGCTCTCCGTTCTTCGAAAACCCTGGGATTGTCCTTATCCTCCGTCCCCCTCCATCCCATCTCCGTCCCCCTCCATCCCTTCTCCATCCCCAAGTAAGAACCCGTTCCTCAAATGTTCGCAATAAGTCAAGTCTCGCGAAACGAGGATGTTATCGAACATCGAGAAATCCACTCATTTCAATGAAGGAAGAGATTTAGCGGGACTTCTTTATTGATTCGAGGGAAGGAGTGTTTTCGTTATTGCGATCCAGACTTCGCGAGCAGCACTGGCAACGATATTGACACAAACCACGAAGAAAATTACGAAATAAGAGTAGTTTATTGAGAAGGTATATTTAAATGATCATTACAGCAACTTAAAATTATCTCGATCTGATAGACCTTGTCAAGTCAGTCATCTATATTAGAACCTTAAAACTAAATGTAACTTAACATGGACTTCCGAGCAGTATTACAAAAATACTATGCTGTGTTAAAAGCGAGTCGGTACTATACAAAACATGATAGCTCCATTGCGTTGAAACAAAGGCAGTCTTACTAAGGATAATATTAAGAAATTCATTATGTTACTTCACGTAATAAAAAATACCGTCCTAGTTAAGATATATGACAATGCGGTTAAACAATAAGGAAACCCCTACCGTAAGAAACTTAATCACATTTTAAAGTATATTCCCTGGTCAGCTGATTGCCTGAGGTATCAATAATCACTAGTTACTATAACAAAAGTACTATCTACTTTACAACCTACAAGGATTTACGAAAATGTTCTAATTCTAAAAGCACAGTCAAGGTGTTACTTCCGGTATTTGTGTTGTTGGTGTTCCTGTGTTCAATACTTGCTGAGGTCTTCTTCAAGGTACGGATCTTGGTACAGCGGGTTCGCCATTGATGTGGCCCCACCTTTTTCCGACTGAGAAGCAAAGAAACAAGCATATTAATAATACTTCTACGTCAAAGTAACAATAAAAGTAGTAAACACCGATTAGAAGGTTGGGTAACAAATAAATCAATTTTATTCTGAAATAAGGTTGAAGATAACTTTTCAGCTTTGTTCCTGAAAGGTTTGCTACAATATAACAAAAAACTACGGCTTGTAAGTGGCCAGGCGTGAATTAGAGTACGGGCTATTTACGAGAGATTGAAGGCATTGTGTTAGCGCGTGGCTAGGATTACAACAAGTTCAATTGCCCATCTACAGCAGGCCTTCCTAAGAAGATTGACCCCAGAAACTTGAGTTGCCTGCCAGTGGTCGCGATCCATCAACCCGAAGGCTTATGGTCTGTTCCGCGTTAAGACAACTACAAATTCATACAAAATTTTACAATCCATAATAACGGTTGAACGGAAATTTCCCCCACCCATCAGGGATTTGCAGGTCCCACATCAAGACTAAATTTGCAATCATTAATAAGAAGATCGCTTTTGAGACAATCCCAATGATCTGAGGAGTAATAATAATGATAGTAATAATAACCTAGATGTTACTAGCATGGGCTTACCGAAATACCAAAAGCATCGTCTGAAGCAAACATGTTGGTGTCAACGTCACTCATGTGAAACTATTAAATAAATCAAATCAGACAATAACAAACTTAGATCAAATCCCCATCAATTTAACATAGACACAAGAAGCTATCGAGGGGGACCAAGTGATCACATGCTTAATGTAAAACCGAGAGATCATTGTCTCAAGTTCGTCGCTCCCCNCCCCCCCCCCCGATTGTTTCAAGGCAGCTTCCAAGTCACGCAGATATTTCTGTGCCAGCTTTCCACCTGATGGGGTTCTTTAGCAGCCCAAGCCTCGTGTCCAGTGACCACTGTGTAAGTTCTCGAACAAATGAAAGAGAGGTTTGCATTTTGAGCCTTGGCAACACTATTTGAAATCACGGAAGCAGCGAGGCCGAGTGGTTTAGGACGCTGGTGTTGTAATCCGGAGGTCTCGGGTTCTAGGCCACCACCCTGCCACTAGCGGCAGTTTTTTCTCGAAAGTCCCGAGTTCGAATCCGGTCAAGCTTTGTAAAAAGCCAACTGATCTGCCTCCTGCCAGTTGGGATTTTTAACTATGTTACGTTTATTTCAATTATTTGTTTCAGTGGCATGCGTGTAAACTAGATAAGCTTAGTGCTTGTATAGCTAAATGCATGACCACTATAAATAAGATTTACAATTTACTTACTTCCTCAAGTGGTTGTCCTTCGTTGAAAGAATCATACACAGGGTTCCCAACACCCTCGGCCATTTCAATTTCTCCTTTGCCTTTCCTGCCGTTCAAAAACACCCATGGTTACAAGAGATCTTTATCACAGCGCTAAATCAATTACGAATTCCACGTCACACAAGGGGAGTAAACCTCGAGATTTAACTGAAACAAGAAATTACCTTATCTGTGATGTGTCTTTATTTGTGGGGTCGTAAAACACAGAGAAGAGAGTGAGCTTCTTCCTGTAAATCACAGATGGAAGAGTAGCACAGCAATCAGTCTTTATGTGAATAACTTCCTCTAGTAAGGGCTAGACGCGGGATGGACTCACGTTATGAGTAAACCAACCCGTATACGCAACTGTTTGGCAATCTAACATAAGCTTAATTCAAATCAAAGAACGACTTACTTTTTGCTCTTCATCACAAAGTAGGCCACCACAAGAACAACGACTATCAAAATAATTCCTGCTGCAACACCCACTCCGATGTAAACTAAAAGAGAGAAAAGCAATATTACAAAAGAAACTGGAAAGGTTTTGTCCATTCCAATCTTGAGACTCAGAGGAGCATACGATTACCTACACTAATAAAGGATTTACGCGGAATCTGGATGATGCTACACTCAGTCTTAGATTTATCTTGTATCTTCACCATCTACGGGTATACTACGAACTCACACCGTGACCAGCTCTCAGTTGGCTTGATAGCTCAGTTGGTAGAGCACAGCACCAGTATCGCAGATATCTGAATCATTCAGGCTCTAGTTTCGCAGCTGCTTAAGTTGTGTTTATAACTGCGGTGATCAATCATATCAATTACCTGATGATTTACTCTTAGGTCCACCTTGTTGTTTACCAGCAGTTGGTTGTGGGGGTGGTGCTAGAACAAAGAAAGAAAACATTCTTAATTTAGCTATGTGCAACCCAAAAACCAGTCAAGTTTTATTAAACCTCTGGAGCACCGAATCAGGTGACCTAAAAAACCGAGGAATGAATGAGTTCAATGAGAGTGAACTGAAGAATACAGATTGGCGCGTGGTTTGGAGAGAAAATCCTGGAAGTTTGACGATATTAAAACTATATATGTTCAAATACGAGCTTTTCTGGTAATTAAAAGAAGTTTGTTCAGGCATTAACAATTTCAGGACAACACTTACAAATTTGACATCGATCGCCAGTCCACGCACCAGGGCATCTAGCATCAAAAGATAACATTGTTAGCAACGAAAATTGACAAATAACACTTAAAAACGTCGAGTGATTTCCGGTTATCGTCGTTGCCTACACATAGCATGTTGGACGAACAGGGATAAACAAAATTCTGTAAACAAACCAGTTCCCCGTTGGGGTTTTTAAGGGCCAATGGAACGGGGTTAAAAACCAGGGATGTACCAACCAACGTGTACTAAAGGCATCTGCGGTCGAGTGTTGATCGATACAAGAGCTCATTTCCAAGTTGCAGTTTGCCTGTTTGATAAACAATTCCTCGGAAAAATACATATGAAAATGAGCTGAATTTCCGTCAAAAACGTGCAGATGGAACAAATTTTCATATGAATGGTTTCTGACGAAAACTCGTTTTGAGGCAAACGACAACTCCCCTCAACGTTCACTTATTACCACAAGGGGGGAGGGTTTGAATTAAGGTGAGTGGGGTGGGTGTGCTTATATTAAGGCGCTCAATCGAATCATTGCGGTAATTATACTTACTTGCACGATCTCAGTTGATTTTCTTTCTGGATACAAGTGCCGCCGTTCAAACAATATTGGTCGAAACATCCTGTAATCCAACCATGAAAGATCATTAATAAGTCGGTGACAATTGACTTCATATATTTTACTAACATGAAAATGTTCATAACAACCAGAGGCCAAGCGATGGATCAGATTGGATTAAGGAAATAAACGAGCGCTTATTTTAAGTTATTGAAGAATTAACCAAGTCAGCTCTAAGAAGCCTCACTGGTTATGTTATCACCTCATTTCCAACGCGAGCTCATGAGATAATTGAGGAGACAGTAATGCTAAATTTGTATGAAAAAATAAGATGCAAAAAAAAGCCACCTGCAAATAGACATTCCCCAGCACGACAGGTTGGGGAAGTTTATTTTGGTCTCTAATATTAACATTTTCGCAACTTTTTCCCTAACGTCTCATTTCTTTTCTCTTCATAAAAATTGGAAAATTCCCTGAGCCTTTCAGTTTAAATTTATAATGGCTTTTTTAGATTCCATAAAAAGTCGGAGACAAAGACAGAACAGCGCTGAAAGGTATATATTTTCACGTGTTTTCCCTTAATATTAACAATTGTTTGGACCTTGATCTTTTAACAAAGCTGCTGAAAACTGATGTCAGTCAAAAGAAACGAAACAACGTTTAAAGGTGCATTTCTCTGGGATGACCCGGATCATGGTACAGCTCATGAATAGGATTCATCGCTGCCATTGATGCACCATGATCCAAGCGATCGCAGGCCTAGATCATCCAAAAGAAACGAACCGTAAGTTCTGGTTTTAACCAGCCTCTAGACAGTCCCTTACCTCCACAGTTGTAGTCAATCTGCTTATCCGAGTAACTGCAAGTTTTGTTGCGAGAACAAATGGATTCTTTACTGACACATTTTCCTGAGCACGGCTGTAAAGCTGGCGACTGATTTGTACAGTTATTTGGAATCTTCTTATCACACTTAACCCCATTGTATTCAAATGGACAACTGCAACAGCACAAATACATTCCTGGGTCATTACTTGCGACGGTCAGTAAGAAATAAAATGACTCCGAACACTGCATGCCTTACAGAGAAGGTTATCGATTACACATCTACAAATTTGCTGCAGTTTACCCAGCCATTTACCCCCACTCGCACATCCTCCCCCCGGACACAGTTGGCAGACTCAAACTATTACAATTTCCAGAGTAATTTGCACTTTTTGGCGTTGAAATACAGATGTATTGAGGAAAGACTCCTATTTGGCCATCAAATCTTTGCACGTGCCGCGCTTTACGGTTTAAGTAGGAGCCATCGCTGAGCAATGGATTATCACTCAGTCTCTTAATCGGTTTAAAATGAATCTCGGTGATTGTTACTCTACTTGAATGCAAATTGCTGACAGTGAGAAAATAACCTAGCCTTGTGCATGTTCCCTATCAATGACGCATACAACACAGACAGTTGCTGGCCTTTTACGTGTCGAGTCTGATCAATGCACCAGCCTTCAGGCCATCACAGTTGCTGTTAATATTGTACTGTTTGGCTGAAAGTAATTTGAATACTTACATACAAATCCTGAAGCCAGATTTATCGAACGCGCACCATCCATTTGCACAGACATCCGAAGGTGAGCAATCTGAAAATACAACGACAGGATTACTCCAGCTAAAGATTTAACATTCACAAGATGTAAGTTGGCAAGGAGAATTGATGACGAGTGGAATACACCATAACATAATCCAACGTGGATATGAGGCATTTTCCGGCACTTGTGTTTTTCTTCCTTCCCCAGATTGCCTCAAACGCACGTTAAATTTTACTATAATTCAAATGTGAAAAGGGATATTATAAGCTCACGGTGATGAATAAGTGATAAGCGTTACCATGCCTACTGGATGGGCGCCTTTTAAAAAAACTGAACAAAACAACACTGACCTCCGCAGAGATTGATGATCTCTTTTGGAGTAAATGGACACGTTCTTTGTTTGTTGCAGACATCATTTATCTTGACACACGGTCCATTTGTGCCACAAGCCACCAGAGATTTCGAGCTATCGCACTGCTCGCATCGTTTGCCCACATAACCAGATGGACAACTGAAATATAAAGAAATCCAAATAAAATTATGTTTCTAGCAACATAGCAGAGAACAGAAACTCTCTCAAAACTTTGCAGGGTGCTAATAACTATAGTTGTAAGTGCATGTTCCACTAAACTCTTTTTCACCTTCCTAACATAGTATGGCAATATATCCTGTTTTAGTTTTATTAGTCGCGCTATGTAGCGTGGGAGTCCACTAACATGGCGGCGAGTGTTTCTGTTAAGCAGTTCAATTTATTTCATGAAAAAAGAGGAATCTAAAGGTGCGGAAAGCACGACCACCACCAAAGAAGTCCTCTAACCAAAATTTAAAGAATTTCATAACAAGAGAAGGATCGGGACAAAAATGAGGGAAAATACAGAGAACATCTTACGAATGATGTCCCTCACATAATGCACAGATCCTGTCACACTTAAATGTAAGTTCTACTAACAGAAAAGTTATTTTGCAATGATGTGTCATAAAACTGCAGTTTGTGACAAATTCTTTATCGGTCTTTATCAGCAACAACCTTCACTAAACCCCGATCCAATAAATGCTTAATGTTCACTTAAAAGGGAGGTAATTACTTGCAGGCCGGCTTTCCATTATCCATGTAACATGTTCCACCATGAGAACAGTAATTTGCCGCACATTCTGCAACAAATGAGAAACAATAATTAGAAAAAAACCTGTACAACTTGGTACCTGAACCACAGAGTCGCTTTCCGACAAATGATTTCCTTTGTCAATGAATATGCCAATAAAACGACTGCAAACTGGAAAGTTCACCAGAGCACAGAGTCAGTTTGAAAACCGCTACAAGACCCTATAATATTGTAACTGAGTTGATATATTGTCAGGTGATCACGGATTGGACATTTCCTGTAAATCAATGCCGTTTTCATGTCGCATTTTGGTTGCGCCATTTGAAAACCTGTTACTAACTGTAAGAAAAAAAACAGCACAATTTCCAGACAGTATAAAACGGCTTTCCTTCTAACACGTTTTAACCTTTGGAATCACGTCTTAAAAGTGATAAATGTCGAAGTATCCAGTGAACTTTTCTGGCTTCATATGCAATTTAAAAGTATTTCAATCCACGAAATTCTCACCATTGCAAAGTTTTACAAAGTCATCTGGACTGAGACCACACTTCACTATTCCATTACAGATGTCGGCTTTCTTTGCGCAGAACCACTGACCCACTTTACACTGAATCTGATCGGCAGGACACTTACAATTGGTGCAATTTTGACATCTCGTACCAGCGTAATTAGCGTTGCAACTAGGAAACAACGAAAACGGTAACTCCGGTAAGTTCGATAAAACTATATTCTTTGCAGCAAATAAATGACTTAATTACAATGTTTAGAGAGGAAGCCACATCAGCCCTAACTCTCCTGCTCGAATTGGAATTTGAAAATGTTGGTTTTTCAGGAGGGAGGAAAACCGGAGTATCTGGAGAAAAACCCTCGGAGCAAGGCGAAAACCAACAAAAAAAAAATGAACCCTCTTCGGTGGGAGACGAGAATCCAGAGAAATACTCTTGGAGCAGGGCGAGAACCAACAACAAACTCAACCCAGTTCGATGAGAAACGAGTACTTTCACCACTGCGCTATCACTGCTTCCCCAGTAATATTCACTGTTCCAGCAATAAAGTGGATAATTTAAAGTTTTATTATTTCTTTAAAAATATGTATCTAAAATCATTAACAGTGGCGCGAATCCGCCCCTCCAATATGACGTTGCACGACGCTCCATGAAAGTGATACACAGCTTAGAAAACCCCAAAACTTACAAGTATGTGCACTAGTTGTCGACACTTACACACAGTCTGGGCGTCCCTGGTTGTCTAACTGGCACTTTCCATTGACACAATATCCCTGAGTACATGCTGGAGATGAAGTAAATATCACAAACTATTAATTAACACATGGTAAACACCATAGCGTGCACTATTGAGTTATGGATGCACGCGGGAGGTTTGCTAAGTACTCAAGAAGCTAGAGTCGCACTCGGCTATCGCCTCGTGCGACTCTTACGCTTCTTTCGTGCTTAGCAACCTCCCGCGTGCATNATAACATAACATTGAGACATTGGAACAACAGAAGTCCTTTCATTCAGCTACATCACAAAAAAATGTTCGTGTAGTCTTGCATGACAAGAGAAAACAACCGCGCGAAAATTCATTCATGACAACCGACTGCACACCAGTAACTCGATAAAGTTTCATCTCCAGACAACTGTGAAGACAATTTCGTATTTCTGGCAGAAGGACGTCGGCCATTACTTTGGAAACAATGTCTGTCAAAAGATTTGCTTTGTAAACATTAGCACACACGTCAGCAGCGTACACTCATGGGCAAATAGTAGACGCTAAATTAACCAATCAGAGCGCGCGCTTTGCTTTAGTTATGTCATAATGTCAGTTCTTGAATCCTTGCTCTCTTTAAACATCATGTGTCCACCACGTTCTGACAAACATAGATCTACATGTAACATTTCTCCTCAGTGTGTGAGTAGTTGATTCCTGCCGGCTATCACACCACATTTCCGCACTACCCCTTGCCTCTGTTTCAAAACGAGTCCTCGTGTAAAATGTTTCATATGAAAATGAGTTTGATTTGCATGAAAATGAAATTGTTTGAATGTTTTCGTTCGAAGACTCGTTTTGGCACGGAGGCTAAAGGCAACTCGAAAATGGTCTTATCAAATGAAAAATACGGAAGGTTTTTCTCGTGGCCCTAAGCGATCCTGCCTATTACAATGATTTACACATATATATTCACAACTGAATAATTTCTGAGGAAAACTGAAAATTTGTCACTGTTGATGAAAAGTGCGTAAAAGGTAGAGCTGTGTGAAGGGTGTCACGTGCATTCCGCTTACCACAATGTGCCTCATCGCTCCAGTCATCACAGTCTTTCTTGCCATCGCACTGCGAAGACTTGTTCAGACATTTATCATTCTTTGGACAGTATATCTGGAGATTACCACAATCTCGGTTCGCTGCGAATTCAAATAAATAAAGTATTAGGCAAGAACATCAACTGTAAAAAATACTTGGACTTCTGTACAATGCTGCGGTCGTTGCATGATTTGCCACCAAATTGAAGTTTGGCAGAACAGTTACGCGAACTAAACCCAGGAGTTCCACAGACAAAAAAGAAGTGTGTAGCTTCCTTTGTGCTTATTTATCGAAAATATTTAATTCAAAAGGAGACCAACTGTGCTGTACCTCGGGAGCAAAAGTTTATGCTAAGGTTTGACAAATTTGAAATGAGTGATAACAAATCACGTGTAACGTTTAATGCCAATCACATCATGTTTTTCAGTGACCTGCTCATGCTATGAACTGCACACCACAAAGTACACAGCATTTTAAGGAATGGAATACTTACGGCAGTTGGCGTTTGCTCCTTCATCTGAATGATCTAAACAATCTGGGAAACGGTCACAAACGAAGCTTGATTTGATGCATTCACCACTTCTGCATCGGAACTGGTCTCGCCTACACTGACCTGTGTTCACTAAGAAATTAAAATGGAAAGCACTTTTAAATTGCCCTTTCATTTGATCTCACTCTATAATTTCTACAATGACTGGCGAACCTTTCCAGCTTTCAAAATACGTTTTCGTATTCCCAGAGAAGTATGGATTAGACTTACCATGGGTACATGGTGTAAGTGTGATGTCGTCGATGGCAATATCGCTCTCATCGGTCGGGCCACGTTCTGCTTCAAAGGTGACTGTAAAAGACGTCTTGTTCTTGATAAGATCGCTGAAGTTGTGCACACCCCTAATCCAGCCATCACCCTGATTTCCAGCAACCTTCCAAACCTAACGAAAGAGAAGGAGGGTCACTGAAATGGGAATGGATGGTAAGGGAAACCAAGGAGAGCCCCATAGTTAGTGAGAGGCATCACCCGTAATGGCTGTCCCGGTTTAGCAAGAAACTTCAATCTTGTAGTAATTTACAACACTCCACACTTCACAGTCCGTCTTGGACAAGGCAGAACTATAGTAACACACTCAACTGAGCCTACATGTATGTAAATAAAACAACTATACAATACCTCTTCGCTTTGTCCACCTTTTGGCTTTACTATCAAACGTAAAACACCCAGACCAGCGCCATACATAAAATAGAAGAAGTTGATCTGACAGTACGACTGTGACACGTCCGAAAAGTGATATGACACTTCCGCTGTGTCTTTGGGATTTAAATTTGTTGCATCCATATACAGGTAATACCCTAAAGGAAACAAACAGAAAGATAAGCAATTGGTAAAAATCAAGTAAATGTTCTCTTTGACTATGAATAGTTGGGTGAGAAAGACTTAAGTAGCCATACAATTTGTGCTACTGTGAGAAATTCCATTCAAGCAGTTGGGAATGATCAGAAAATGTCATTAAAATGATGACAGCAGGTGTGATTGCAGTAGGAAATACTTCCATATCGAAAAAAGCGCCCTTTTAACCCCCATCTCGACTCCCCTTTCAGTCTGGTATCCCCCCTTTCCCCGTCCCCTCAGAACTAAACGAATGAATGAATGTGTCAGCAGTTTACCTGTTGAATCTTGTTTGGTGTTGTCGTAACGTGGACCAGTGTTTCGGCTCGGCGTCTCTCCTCTGCGACGAGTAAACTTTCCCGGTGTTAACTGGTTAACAATCCAATTGCACATGCCTCCTTCAAAGTCACACGCCCCGCCAGTAGGTACAGATGTTGGTGGGAAGGTGGGGGTAGTACTGTCATCTTTGCAGCACATGATCCCACCGGCATTACCAGCTGACATGAATGAACAACCTTCCAGACTGCCAGCAGCAGCAGTGTAGCGAGTCATTCCCTTGAACACACCTGGGCAGGACACAGCGATTAATTGGCAAAAAAACACTGTAATGTCAATCACTGCGCCAAACACAAAATTTCCTAGATTATTCTAGCCTCGAATATGCAACGGTGATGCCATAGAATCAACAACAACAACCATTTTATTTTGCTTAATACATAGAATATCACATAGCAAAAAACAAATTAAACTTAAATAAGCGAAAAAAACTACTCAAAATAGTAAGAACTAAACGAGCTGAGTAGAATCCGAGAGTATTCAAGGCACACGTCTTGGACACTTGAATACACGGAGAGACAGCGTGGCCTAGTGGTTAAGGGCGCTGGATTTGTGATCCGGAGTAAATAGCCAACTGGTCTCGTCTCACCAGTTGGGATTTTTAACAAGTTTCTGTTCAATTTACAATATTTGTTTGCTTGTCCGCCAATTAATGTACTAAAGTAGTGTTAAGAGTCCCTGTCCATAAAAATGGAAAATAACTCGGCAAGGGTCGAAAATTCGATTTCGCTCATATTTTTATGGTAGATAGGCTAGGGCATGA